TGATAAAAGAAAAAACAAACAAACAAACTATAGGATCTTTTTACTTAATACTATATGTTATTTTCTTCAAGTGTTAAAGCCCACTTGATTGTAAACGAGATCTGATAAGCTATGTATAAAGTAAAGGATTAGTACTGTCGTTTCGGGGCTTTGGTCCAGTGATGGTAATTTGCTAGTTAGTGTCTAGCGAAATCAACAGATTTGACAATGGTGAATACACTTTTTTGGGTGATTTTGAAGCAATTTGCCATACCATAGGAATTAAGTACAGATACACTCAAAAGTTTGTCTAATAGGCAAATATTTCTACAGTGTATTCCTTAATCATGTTATAAGCACTGAAACACTATATAAGAAAATTGCATCCTCTCAATTTTGCTTTTATATGTCACCCATTTTATTTACTTACGTGTGTAAATAACAAAATGATAAATGGCTAACATATAATCAGATTGTAACAAAGCAACTAATCTTAGCACTTATTAGATCTGATAAGCTATGTATAAGGTAAAGGATTGGTAGTCTAAGTTATTTTTACACGTCTTTTCTGAGCTTTGGTCCAGTGGTGGTAATTTGCTGGTCAGTGGCTAACAAAATTAACAGATTTATGTATTACATTAAGCTATATATAAGGTAAATAGCATAGCAGTGTGTCATTCTTTGATATGGGTGACATATAACAGCAAAATTGAGAGGATATAATTTTCTTATATAATGTTTCAGTGCTTATTACATGATTAAGGAATACATTGCAGAAATAGCGTAGCAGTGTGTCATTCTTTGATATTTATGTAATCAATTATCACCCCATTCACGCCAAAATGGAGTGACTTAGTCCTCAGTCACATGGAATATATTTCAGGCGAATCACCTATCTTTATTTGGGTCAAAACATGGCACCCGAAAAACATGCCACTTAAGTAAACTTGGATCAAAACAGCACCCGAAAAAAAGCAGTGTAATTGCTATAGATATTTTATGTGTATATATATATTATATGTATATATATAAATGTATATATATGTATGTGTAGGTATTTATATGTATAAATATTATATATACAGATACATACACGAATATACTGTATATATATAAATATTAAAAGAATACACGCGCTTTTGTGTGCGATTGTCGTTAGTGAATATGTCCATTAACTTTGTATACAAGCCTGTGTACATTTCAAATATCTTATTTCAGGTTGATGTTTAGCATAGACTGCTAGTGCCCACACCTAAGTCTCCAAGGTAAGGTATAATGACTGCATTGTGTTGTTCTGGCTAAACAGATCGCAAAGAAATCACCATATATCATCTAAGTACTGTACAGCATTATCTGTATCTGAACATTTGTCAGGACGCAAAAATAGATGCAATATCCTGTGCAAGATGTTATTGACCGACACATATGGCATATTAAAGGGAAACTGACCCCGCCGCGGAGTAATACTCAAAAATTTCAACCGGTCCAACCCACGTAACCGTAGAACATGGCGCGAAGGAAACTAGGCCCGAACACATCCCATATTGCGGTTTTATCTTAGGCTTTCGTCCGTGTTTGAAATGTAAGTTGGGAAAATACGGCATCAGATCACACGTTAGAAGAGAAAGAGAAAACTTTCTGGCCGAATCGTCCACAAAGCGAAACCGATTCATTATATAGTTCAGAACCTCACGGCACTCGTTTGCTGGAATAGTTGTGGGTCAATAACGATATATAAAATTTTATACACTATCTGATTTCTTGTAGGAAACAATACTAGTTTGAATGGGTTATAATAGTTCTTTCTGTTGCACTGAATCCATGTGCTAACAAAATATTTTCTGTTACCAAATACACTATTTGTAACTGCATATGTAAAGCCAAATCTTGCAAAATATAAGTAAGCTTACGTTGCATGGATTATGAAATCTGTATCGCTATCACATTTTATCACACATATTAGGTACTAATTCTCCCTAAGCCCAGAAGTATTAAGGGTTCAGTAAAATGTCAAAAAATTAATGCTACACATCAAGTTTAATACAGTTTTCCATCTTTTGGTGAATTACACATTTTGACGGCAGGGTATTAAAAGATTTCCTGAAAGCTCTTGAAACTTCATTCCTGTTTATGACGGAACTTTATTAGATTATCTTAGTTTGGTTTCGTATCCAAATCAAGCATTTTCAAACTGCCCCCAAAGGAAGCATGCTAACCTTTCTTCTTCGCCAATTCGCTATCATCCCTACCAACAGCTTTCAATGTGTTTTTATTGTTATTTTCTTTACGATTACTACAGTCACCTGTTACGAATGACAATGAATTATCACATCATGCGTTTCTGCTGTAAAAGTTCCAATCGTATTATTATCATTTTCCTTATTCTAGCGTCGGACCATACACTGTCTCCTTACAGATTCTATTTGGATTCTTGGTGTGGCTGCACCCTTATACTTTCATCTAGATCTAGTATCTGTATAAGTATAAGATAAATAAAGAATGTTGTCGATAATACAAATTACATGGGAAGTACAGGAATCCTTTATCCTAGTAAAACAGCGGGAACGCAGGGATGCACTGTGTAATACTAACCTAAACATGTATCGAAATAAAGTGTATATTGTGTACATATAAGTGAACTGAAATCCGTTACGTAGTCACTCGCCAAAAGGGTAAATAAAGCTGTTTTATACAGGGTATGAATTTACTAGGATAAGTGAAGGCAGAATGAATTTACTAGGGTAAGCGAGAGTAGATTTAAACATGAAGAGTAAATAACGTAATTTTATATGCATATTCTTTCTATACTAATTCACACACAAACATATACACACTAAATGTTTGACATCGTTACCCCCCTCCCCCCCAATAGTGGATAAGCATCTCTACCTCATTACTTTAGTAAATGTGTAAATTCTTGATCTTTTAACTTTAAATGTAAGTTACTGATTTTCCTCAAGAAATGAAAACTCAAAGACATTATTCCCTGGATAATGTTTCCTCAACATTGCTCTTCTTAGGATAAATTCGACTTAAAAAGCACGATGTATAAGTTAGCTCTAGCAATCTAAAAAAAAACTACTTATATATATTTTTTCTTATATATATCATATTGCTTTCTTTTGACAGATGGACCATTGGGACAGTGTACCGTGCCAATGTCCTGAACAACAAGGCAACATAAAAGAGGTACTCAGTATAAAGATTTATATACCATTGTTAACCTTAAGATGTTCATGTTGGAAATGCTATTAGCAAAATATTGTGCATAGTGATGACGATACTGGTAGTGATCATGATATTAAAGATGATAATGATAGTAATAGCCGTAGTTACGATGATAATAATGATAATGAGAGCAATGGTGATAATATTGATATTATTGATAATAATAATAGTATCATTGTTATTACTATTGAAAGTAAGTGATTGTTATTACTATTGAAAGTAAGTGATAATGATAACAGAAAATGATAATGATAGAAAAATAATGATCATGATAATTAGAATTGTAATAGCAATAATACAATACTGATAATAGTAGTGGTAGTAATTATTATATTAGTAATAATGATAATAGTAATGATAATGATAATATTAATCATCATCATAACAATAATGATAATAGTTTTGAAGATGATAATGATGATGATAATGATAATAACTAGAAGCACTTAGAGAGTTCATATCTCCGCCAAGGCAATAAGGTCATTGATGCAATCATATTCACACTTAAAGAATTACATGCAAATCACCCTTCTCAAATAATCCATATCTTGAGTTCTAAAAGACGAGTGGCGCTGAAACTTGGTATTTAAAGGTGTTTTAAGATGTTAAGTTCAATAAGGCAAGAATTTGAATTGACTGACAAACGGTATCATCACCATTTTGAATTCCGTTATGACCGCCAACACAAACATCAATGCATTTTTTATTGCTTCAATGACACTGTACGGTAATGTTAAATCAATTGAGCATGATTATGATAAAGTGAAAATTGTTGCATCTCAAAGGGTGCCATAAGGTAATTAGTCACTTTGTACCAAGGTCTATATAAGTATTTACATAGACCTTGCTTTGTACAAGGTCTGAAGCTGTTTACAACGTCTAAGTTCTTTAGTTGTAAAACATTAAAATTCTTTGAGTTTCGTAATTATCAAAACATTCCTCTTTCGACAAGCATTCCCCATGACGTTGTTTACACATTCTACATATTCTACATGCGCCAAAGCATCATCATTCACGCAATAAACACGGATGTTATGTTAGCTATCGTAATAACAGGGAAAATGGACGTTTGTGCAATGTGGTTGACATTTGGACATGGAAAGAATTTTAGGCACGTTGTTGCTCACTCTGCACGCTGTTTCCAGATGCGATACTGTCTCTGCTATGTCTGGGATTAGCAAAGAGGGACGTGTGGAATTCTGCTATATCTGGGATTAGCAAAAAGGGACGTATGGAATTCTGCCATATCTGGGATTAGCAAAGAGGGACGTATGGAATTCTGCCATATCTGGGATTAGCAAAAGGGACGGATGGAATTCTGCTATCTGGGATTAGCAATCTGCAATATCTGGGATTAGCAAAAAGGGACGTATGGAATTCTGCATATCTGGGATTAGCAAAAAGGGACGTGGAATTCTGCTATATCTGGATTAGCATAATTCTGCTATATCTGGGATTAGCAAAAAGGGACGCATGGAATTCTGCTATATCTGGGATTAGCAAAAGGGACGTTTCTGCTATATCTGGGATTAGCAAAAAAGGGATTTATGGAATTCTGCTATATCTGGGATTAGCAAAAGGGACTATGGAATTCTGCTATATCTGGGATTAGCAAAAAGGGACGTATGGAATTCTGCTATATCTGGGATTAGCAAAAAGGGACGTATGGAATTCTGCTATATCTGGGATTAGCAAAAAGGGACGTATGGAATTCTGCTATATCTGGGATTAGCAAAAAGGGATTTATGGATCCTGCTATATCTGGGATTAGCAAAAAAGGGATTTATGAATTCTGCTATATCTGGGATTAGCAAAAAGGGACGCATGGAATTCTGCTATATCTGGGATTAGCAAAAAGGGACGTATGGAATTCTGCTATATCTGGGATTAGCAAAAAGGGACGTGTGGAATTCTGCCATATCTGGGATTAGCAAAAAGGGACGTATGGAATTCTGCTATATCTGGGATTAGCAAAAGGGACGTGTGGAATTCTGCCATATCTGGGATTAGCAAAAAGGGACGTGTGGAATTCTGCCATATCTGGGATTAGCAAAAAGGGACGTGTGGAATTCTGGGGATTAGCAAAAAGGGACGTATGGAATTCTGCCATAACTGGGATTAGCAAAAAGGGACGTATGGATTCTGCTATATCTGCAAAAAGGGACGTGTGGAATTCTGCTATATCTGGGATTAGCAAAAAGGGACGTATGGAATTCTGCCATATCTGGGATTAGCAAAAAGGGACGTATGGAATTCTATAACTGGGATTAGCAAAAAACGTATGGAATTCTGCCATATCTGGGATTTGCAAAAAGGGACGTGTGGAATTCTGCCATATCTGGGATTAATTTTTCAAGGGTGAATATCTTTATTGCGTCAGTGACCCTGTAGCCTCGACGGAAGTATGCGTTCTCCGAGTGCTTCTAGTTATAATTATCACTACAATCAATGTAAAACTAATCATAATCAATATTTCTATAATACTAAAAAGGATCATACGGAATTTTATACTGTCTCTTTATCAACAGGACTTAGGCACCATCACACTGATGAACATCAACGAATTAAAGACAACCATAAAAAACTGTGGAAACATCAATGCACCGATTGACGAAAGCTCCCACACTATGCTGCATATCGCGTGCAAGACCAACAGAATAGACTTGGTGGAGTATTTGCTCTCCTCTCCCGATCTCCACCTCAACTTGGCCGATGGTGATGGCTGGACACCCCTGATGTGGGCAGCAATTAAGGGCTTCACCGACTGCGTTCGTTTGCTTGTTAATACGAAGACACAGGTGATTCGAACTGCGAGTGGGTTTTCTAAGTATGGGTGATGTGATGGGTGTACGTAGAATATTGTGTAGTGTATTGTATGTCTGTCTCTGTCTGTCTGTCTGCCTGTCTGTCTCTCTCTCTCCAAATGTGTCTGTGTGTGAAAAAGTATATATATATCTATATACATACATACATACATACATACATACATACATATATATATATATATATATATATATATATATATATATATATATATATATATATATGTGTGTGTGTGTGTGTGTGTGTGTGTGTGTGTGTGTGTGTGTGTGTGTGTGTGTGTATGGATTCTTCTGAAAAGGTGGATGAAAGATAGAGGTGGATAGTTAAATACACACACACACACACACACACTGATCAATTGTCTATATATTCAGTGTAGTCCTGTGGTTCTGCGTTCTATAGTGAATTACATAATGCAGCATGTTTTCTGTTCACTGAATCAGTGTTTGGTTCTGGCGAGAAAAAAAAATAGTTCATTACTTCGATTAACCGGTACTAGATGGTGCAGCTACGGAAAGAATTTACAGAGGTCTCAGCGATTTAACAAGGATTTAATTGATTTAGCTTCCATACCTCTGTCTCTGTCTTGTCTCTCTCTGTCTCTGTCTTGTCTTTCTCTCTCTCTGTCTGTCTTGTCTCTCTCTCTACATATATAAAGCATGAAGTATTTCCATGTTTCAAGAAATAATCAGCTCTTAATGTACTCTCACCTCCATAGGCGTTGCTATTTCGATAAACAAACAATTCTAGGAAATGAAAGAAAATGAAAGGGCAAATGGCTTATGTAGTTTCGGATTTTAAAATTATCCCACTACAAAGTCAACAGTAAGAATCACATGTGAAGAAATGAAAGGGCAAATGGCTTATGTAGTTTCGAAAAGTAGGCATTAAGTACACTTTGTTACGAACAACCTAGACTTTTTACCTCATTCATAAAAATACTATATACTCCATGTCTACATCGAATTGATTGCCAGATGTACGAAAGAGGGACCCAGCAAGTGTACAGAAATATGATTCCGCAGCTGTGTATACAACATAATACAGGTTCTTCATTACAGTGCGCCATTAACCTGAGAACGAAAGACAGGAGTGGGTTCAGCGCATTCCGTCTGGCGTGCAGAGAAGAACACTGGGACACGGCCAATGCTCTTCTGCCCCACCTCCTTCCCCACGATAAATTAGACGACGGCCGCCTCCTCCCTAAGCTGGACGCGGAGTTAGACGGGGACCTCGCTTCACAGACCCTATCTGGCTCACTCCGGAAGCTGAAGGAACTCGGGAGCAACGCGGACGTGGCGGTCCTAAATGGCACGCTCTTCCTAGCCAGTGAGAGACAGCCGGATGTCGTCGTGTTCTTACTCGAGACTTACGACTTCGACGTCCTCATACTGAACGAGGCTCTGCTGGAGGCCGCTGGGTCGTGTTGGTCGTCCAGTAGCTCCGTGGTGAGGGTTCTGCTGCGAAAAAAGGAATTTGAAGGTGACGTCCTGGGTAGGGCGAAGTCCTTGGCCGAAACGTGTTCCCATGATGACGTTGTGGATCTCCTGGAGCATATGGCGGCTCATGGCGTGCTTCCGGACACCGAACAGGTAAGGAAAATGTGGAGGCATTATTCTTACTCATAATCATTCCAAGAAATGTCATTCAGAGGAAGAAAGTCCGCATAAAAAAAAAAAAAAAAATATATATATATATATATATATAATATATATATATATATATATATATATATATATATATATATATATATATATATATATATATATATATATATATATAAGCATTATCTTCTCTCATAAATATTCAAATACCTTGTCATTTCGAGTACGAAAGACCAAGTAAGAAAAAATATGGGGCATAATCTTTATTTTTAAATATTTAAATAAATGTCATTTCGGAGCAAGAAAGAAGTAAGAACACTATGGAACAGTTTTCACATAAACATTCAAATACATTATGTCAACCGAAGTCCCCATAATGTAAATAGTAGAATAGAATAGTAAAGTCCCTATAAAGTAAATAGTTGAACAGAATAGTAAAGATGGATCTCGGTAACAAGATCCTAAACCGCATTCATGTTGACCAATGTAGAAAGGTATTCATTCTCATTCATATCTCTCAACATCCTCATACAAGTAGTGAAATAATCCTGCTACATCACTACATAACATCTACATCTCTCGCATGTGACTGACTTAATTTCTCTAAACTGTTGCCTGCTCTTCAGGTTTCTCAGGAGTTCGTCCCGTGTCGATGTCCACAGCCAGAGGAGCTGCAGTACCCGGTAGGAAAATAATAAAATGGGATAATTTTAAGACTAAGGGGTATATGGATAAGGGAGATAAATGCAATAGGAAGGTTTGAGGTATGAGAATAAGGGAAAATCATACCTAATGAAGGTATGGTTAGAGAAATTTGAACATTACGAATTTTACAAAGGTATTCTGCAGATACTTTTTTACCTATTTTTTCATTCTAGTAAGTGGAAAGTGGAAAAAGAGTTTTTTTTTTCCACGTAAGACACTACCAAAATTACATATATAGGCTTATACCAGGCGAATATGATAAATTAAAATCTATCATCCTAATAAGCATGATAAAACTTCACTCTAAAATCTATTCTGTTGACATGATCGTAAATTCCATTCACCTTTTTTCAATATTCGTGTTACATATCTCTTCCCAGGACTACAAGCTCAGAAAAAGTGCGAAGCCAGAAGGACCTACGGATTTCCAATGTTTGCTAGACGCTGCCTGCTTTTCTAAGGACATCTCCCAGGTGAAGATGCTGTTGGACTACCGCCACATTCACCTAAACTTCCGGGACCAGCAAGGCTACACGCCCCTTATGGTGGCCGCCAGTGAAGGGTTCAGTGAATGTGTCCATGCTTTGACACTTTCGTCCACGAGGGTAAGTTATCTTACCTCTTAGTCTTAAAGAAATTGTCATCTAGATTACCTGACCTCTACCTTCTCTCTGTTAGCTATCTTGCTTCCTTCATGCTATTCATCTGCACTTCATGACTTACCCTCTCCACATCTTCCAACATTCTCTATCCCATTTCCTTCATGCATCAGCTTCTCAATTATGCATATAATCTTTCTAGTGTGGCCTCAACATCTGTGTGAGGTTAAACAATGGCGAGAACGCGTTTATTCTAGCCTACGAGCAGAAGAACTGGAAGACCATAGACGTCCTCCTCTACAAGTGCGACCGAGAAGCCACCGCCGACAAGCAGCTGATCAAGGTCCTCGCGCAGTCCAACATAGACGAACTTCGATCAAATCTCGGCACTCAGACTTACTCCGCAAATGCTCTGCTTGGCGGGCTCTACTCGGCTCTTTTCTTGCGGAATTCCGAGGCCGTGATGGAACTTCTTCGCTACCAGAGCAGCGACCTCGGCAAACTCTGCATTGTGGCGACCGTCGCAGCCATGGATGGCCAGTGGGACGCGGTGAAGGCGGTGACAGATATACTGGAAAAAAAGAATCTCAGTGAGCATCAGGTATGTATATTGGGTTGCTCTGAAATAGAATTGAGTAATACTTCTAAATATTTAGTTTTTAACTTTTGGTAACCAGCGATAACAGTAATAAATCAATGATGAAGTTGATAGTTATGACAATATCCCTTCACAAATATTTAAACAGCAGCACATTGTCAAATGACAACCACCTCTCCCCATAAAAAAAAAAGATTTCCCAACTGGAGATCGTGCTCTGGGAAGCCGTCCGTGCCAATGAGGTGGCCATGGTGAGAGTGCTGAGCGACATCCTACGTGTCAATCCTCGCACAGCAGTGACCGGGAGACCCACGACGTCTGAACAAGAGGCCCACACGCGCGGCCACACCGACGTCGTGGCCACCTTCAACAAGAACGCTCCTCCAGCCAAACTCACGGCCGAGGAGGAGCAGATCTACAGGGCAATGGCGGTATAGTACAGAGCAAGGAAGGGTTTTGGGGGCCCATAGATGCTGGTTATGGTTTTCATTGACTTGTATGTATTTTCTTTCATGAAATACTGGTGGTACACTTTAGGAAAATGAAGATTGATCACTGAGTCTGTGTGGTCAACTAAACATGACACAAATCTCAGCTGTATCTTTACCATTTTTAATGAATGTCAGTGTTATCATTATCATTAATATGATCATTATCCCAAAAGCTCCACAAACGACGAGTGAACGATCTCTTCATTGCTGTGTGGGCCGGCCAGACTGGGGACGTGAATAAGATTCTGTCCTCAAGGAGTGACGTAAGCATCTCCCTCCCTGGGTTTGTGCGGGACATCGGGGGCGCCACCTTGCCCCACGTCCTCATCGCGGGCATGCAAGTGTGTACGCAGGATCCTGTCTGGGATAATTATGTGGATGTGGAAAGGTTGATTGAGGCACATGGACTCTACACGAACTCGGTCGATTGCAAAGGTAAGATTGTATAAGAACACTCCCAGAACTTTAGTAGCGAAAGGAGAAGAAATAGATTTAGTTTTCATTCCATTTGTTACAGTGGATATTCTTTCCTATGAAATGTCCATTATATTTTGCTTCTAAATCTTCCCTGTGTGCAAGGGATGGCCGGGGTTACCATCCATTGGCCACGCACGGGATTGAACGCAGGTCAGCAAGATTGCTAGACCAACACGCTAACCGCTACGCCAGCACAGCATTAATATAGACGTAGGTAATCACAAAAACCCCAATATTCATATCAACATTTCCGCATACACACAGGACGGACTGCCCTACACCTCTTGGCCGAAGGAAATTTCTGGGACAGACGTTATCAAGAGGACACCTCGAGCCAAAAGTCACTTCCTTCAGGATGGGAAGACTCTAGCGACGAGCGGGCCCTGATGGCTGTGAAGGCTGGGGTGGATCCGAGGCTCAGGGACCACCGGGGACAATGCCCGCTGGATATCGCCCAGCGCAAGAAACGAGTGGAGCTTGCAGAGACGCTAAGAAAGGTATGCCTGTGTTTATACTGTCTATCCAAAAGGGTATCAAACTTAATTTTTTTTTCTTTCTTTAACTCTAGCTTTCTCTACATCCATGGATTGTGAAGGATTATTAACAAGTGTCCTACAAGTTTTCAGTATTCATGTTTGTGAACAGTGAACAGTTTTAGTTCTTACCTGTTTTTCTTTTATATTTGTTTAATAAAGAAGTAGAAGAAAAAAAAAGTCGGCAGAAGCAGCAGTAAGAAATGAGGCTCACGATGTTTAAAGCTTAAAGAGCCTAGTAGCATAAATGGTTATAAATATCTGATGATATATAAAGTTGAAAGAAATGGATAAAAATTTATGTAGAGATACAACCATCCATAGAGATAATACCGGAAAAAATTGAGAAGGAAATAATAGACCTAGGAAAAAGTTGTAGTAACCAAAATGGGGAAAGGTAGCCAAAACGACGCAAAGGATCTAAAAAGAAAAAAGAAAGAAAGAAAAAAAAATACAGATGTAATTAAGGTTCAGGAAAGTAGATTCTAAGAAATTTGGCAAACCGCCAAATTCAAGTATTGGAAGAAGCATATGCTGATAGTTTTATTAGAAACCGGTCAAATACATCTCTTGTATTGTGAAGATATTCATCCTCATTCATACCTTTCTACATTTGTCAACATGAATATGGTTCAACATTGCAAATCTGGAAGCAGTAGTACCTATTGCATTAATCTGTGTAATGTGTACAAAGGATAATTAGGAAACAACGAGTTGAAGTACTTTAAAAATCATATCAATCAAGTAATTTGGGTTTAGGGGTAGGGTGCGTCATGTTTAGCAAATGTTTCTATGACGTTTCTGAAATATTACAAAAAGATGACTAGGTCGTTTGTTCATGTTCAAACTTTATATGACGTTTGATATGGTGTCGCACATTAGACTTTTAGGGATAATGAAACACCCAGATAGAGTGAAAGGTAAACTGAAGTGGATAAAAGACTTTATGAATGATAAATGAGCACTAATTTAAGGGAAGCAATCTACATGGAGATGAGTAATTTCCTATTCATATTAGTATGAAATTTACTTGGTAGATCAACATTACACAGTCAAGAATAAAATGAAATGTCAAATACATCCTTCGTAAGATAATTACACAATACTAAAGACGGTATGATGCGAAGATGGAGATTACCTATCATTTGGCATTAATTTATAGTACAAGACAATATTTTTACAACATATCCCTCTACTCGTTCATTCCAGAAATGCGAGGAACTGGGTCCTCTGGAGACGCCGGAAGAAAGCGTTCTGTCTGAAAAGTTCGCCAACATGCTGATGGCTGCGAGCATGGGCGACGTGGCACAGACGATGTCTCTTCTTCAGGAGCGAGTGCCACTTGAGCCTCGGGATGGGTATTCCGGACCCCTCCACCTGGCACTCACTCGAGGGCAGCGTGACGTCATGATGCTCTTATTGGCTGGAGGAGCACCGATCACTGCCACCAGTAGTGATGGCCTCACCATTCTCGAGGCTGCACACCGCACTCCCGACTTGCCTGCACTCTTCCCAGCTGTCATTAGGGAGGTAAGTCTTTATTATTATAATATTCATTATAGAAAGTCAGTAAAATATTGACGGTGATATTCTATCATTACTTTTCTTACATCTGATGAGTTCTTTTCATTTGCTTTCCTTCATGTAAGCTGACTAAACAGACAGGAATAGTGTACAGTCATTTTGTCTCTCTCCTCTTTATATATTCACAAGAGAAGAGAACGATGTACAAAATCTACAACCGTCACTTACACTGCCAGTTCGTGTAAGACAAATTTTGACTTTATGGATGTCACAGCTGACAGGCAACTTTGACTACATGATCTGTGCTGTTGTAAGATGACATTTTAGCCTCCAGTAAATTTCTCAAGTATTGTAGTGGTTGGTTTTGTCTTCTTTTAGACTTTTCTAAACTGTTTAATAGTATTTCCTGATCTGTTCATTCTCAGTTTCATGTATGGAGGAATGAATGCGGATTGTTATATAGTAAAGCCAAAATAGTTTTCAAATTTTTTTGGTAGAACTGGAAAATGAATTATTATTATTATTATTTAAAGTTCAGATTAAATATAAGGAAATAACCTAATACATCTGTATAAGCTTATGAGATGCTGTAAGCGACAATGTGCAATGATATACAGGACATTTGTATGGCAGCACCCGAACTTTTATTTGTCTTTATCTGTAATAACAAGCAAGCCCATATTAGTGCGGATCTTTTCATCTATGAATCAGTGAATTGTTCAAATTCAAGAAATTACTGTAATATTTCTGCTTATGAAAACTCATTCAGGGTATGTGTTTTGGATGATATCTAGAAATCTCTGCATTTCAAATTTAAAAAATCAATCAAAAATTTCCCAACAGGAGTATGTACGAGGTATACATGAAGAATGGATCAGTATCAAAGGTGACAGCGAGGAGGAGCAACTTCTGAAAACAGGTCTCCTTGAACTGCTGAAAGACGTGCAGAGAATTGGACACAGGACGTCTTGGCCAAAGGAATATAACCTTGAGGATAACTGGAGGATGCTGACTGCAGCTGCGCGCCTTGGCTTGCCCTTGGCTAGTCATTTCCTCGTCCAGGGAGGTGCTAGAACTAATTTAATTCCTAGCGATAGGAATCATCCTCTGGCTGCTGCCTGTGAATCTTCCGAGCAACATATGATAGTCACCTTGTGCAGAGACTTACGGATCATGCCATATCACGTACCTAGAGTAAGTGAAGATGACCTTCCTCATGGCCTTCTCACGCACCTTCTGAAAAGGGAAGAGGATGTTCTCTACGAACTGATGCTCAAAGAAAGAAGACGAGAATCAGCGGTCCAGGAATTTCTAGACTACTTATCAGATCTCCAAACTCCGAAACGAGTGGGTCATCCTTCTGCGTCTGCGATGTGTCTAATAGGAGAACTAGGAATGGTTCACACACTTCATGCCATAAGGAAACGGGTTGAAGTGAACTTGGAAATGGAACTCGAACCTGGTTCAAAGTCTCAGTTGATACATATAGCAGCTCTAAGAGGCCATAAACCTCTTTTGGAATATTTGGTTCGCTGTGACGTACAGACAGATATAGTTGTGAGTGGTGACATGACGCCTGCACATCTGGCAGCCCTCATGGGTCACTCCGCTTGCCTCAAGTACCTCAGGCATTTCCCAGGTGAATCTGCCCAGTCAGCTGTAGGCATGACACCAGATGATATATTACAAGCACATGATGACTACGTTAAATCGGTGCATCTCAACCTGGTCTCAAATTGGGAGGAAGATATGATCGTGAATGAGAGTCGCGCGGAGGTAAGCACTCGGGTGTTACTGCGCGGCAAGTGTGTAAGGCTCGGTATTACATGCCCTGAAACTCTGCGTCAATGTGCACTAGCCAAGAAGGTCGATTTCAGTGATTCCCATAACTACCGCATGAAGAACACAATAGAAAGGGAAATGAAAAGATTATGTGAAGCAATTGCCCGAGTTGACAGTCGTTACAAAGGACAAATAGTGAATGTAGGATCTGTGGCTGAGAATGTTCGGATGTTACTGCCTGATGAGATGGACTTTAATCTTCAACTAGATTCTTACGATGGCTTTAAGGAAGGCAAAGTCACCATCAAAGTTGAACAAAAACCAAAGAGCCGCAACAGACTGGACTGTACTGACGACGAAGTGAAAGTAAGTGTCGAATGTAAAGAAGACCCTGAATTGTTTAGAGGAAGTAATTTCCTGAAATATTTTGAAGAGGCTGTCAGGAAGGCACTGCAAACATTTAGCTTTGAAAGTCCAAACTTGTCTATAATTTATCCAGGAATAGAAATGACGAAAGTAGGCCTTGCAATCTTCGTCGCCTGGAGTGAGAAACAAAATGGGCCTCTAGTGTTGATGCCCAGTGTTGACTTGGTACCAGCTATCTGCGTTCCATGGCCCGAGGGTAATCGTTTCTCTCAGTTACCTGAACATATACAA